CCGACCCGACTGGGTGGCGAATATTGTTCACCCAGTCTGAAGAAGAGCAAGATCACGCATCTGCATCCGACTTTAGGAACCTCAACGCCGAAAGTAAACCGCGGACGCGTGCCCTAAAGACTGAATCCCTCTGGCCCATCATTGGATGTCATCTATTGAACAATAACGTGCGGGTTCGGAGGATGTCCTTCATCGGAGGCTTCTCGGCCCTACAAACCTATCAAAATGCACCTCGTGAGAGAACTTAGAGAAGGCCAAAGCTGCATTACAAGAGACCCCGACTGGGGTTACTGCTGATATCCAGTCAATGGCCGTTCGGACTCAAGACGCTGGGCGCAGACCTACAACTTGAGGCATGAGCATGGATCTTTCGAGATCATTTGGCGAATAGGGACCGGTCGAAATGCTATGTGGGATTGGTGTGAAGGAGTCGCCGAAAGGAGGATACATCTCAAGATTGAAGGCTACTGTTCGAACTCATCGAGGACTGCATCAGCTCAAGAATGAACCTACCGAGTCATTCTTGGAAATGTCCTAGGACGGCTAAAGTTTCCTAACGGTTTCGGCGTCACTGAAACGGAAAGGGATCGCGAATTGATTCCAAACAAGTGGACGAGGCTATCTAGAGCTCCAACACCTACGGTTTGAAAATCCCCGGAAATCATTACAGAGCTGAGGATCACTTCAGACGACTGGCTTATACCCGAGATTATCTCGAATCTCTCGGCAGTGGACAACCTTCTCTAAAGGGCTGAAGAAGCAAAAGTACCATTTCATACTCCTTCGTCTCGGGATGAGCCGTGCCAAAAGGCTTGTGGAGGAGATGCAAAAGCTTTATCTCGAATCCGCGCTGTCTTTAATAAATAGAAGGCGGACACCAATCTCAAAAAAGGGAAGGCCATTCTTCATATACATAACGGGCTATGGGAAACAATTCTCTTTGGGTGGCACTCATTGGGCTCCTGAACGGAAACGGTATGCAGGTCAAGAAGTGGGCCATGCGATATTTCTACTACTACCGAAATGTCGCAGGAAACCTTGACGGAGGCGCCGAGCAACGGTAAACCAGGATAGTGATGCAAAAATGGTCAGAAAGAAAGGATGCCTAGCCCTTGGTGGTCGCTAAAAATCAAAAGATGGAAGAACTAACTGGTTGGCCAAACATCCCATTGTATCTCCCGGATGATCATTCGGGTCTTTATGACACAAACCCGCAGCGTTAAACTGGCGCCTGGGCCAGGTGGGCGCTTCTGGGCTCTCTCATACGATATTCATCTTCATGAGAGAAAATGCAGTCAAGGGAAATCATATGGGCTCCTCATGGCTAGCACCCGCTGGGGAGAAGACCGATCTCTTTCGAAGATCTGCCGGATGACTCCCGAAAGCGAGTCGAAGTCAAGTTCCTTCAGTTGGATCCGTAAAGACAAACGTTTGTTCTTTATTGCGATCGGGTTATCTCTTGATCCCGTTGGAGCTACAACGCGAAGTCGGAGTTAATCCCGATCCCCACGCTGTGAGCCACACAGAAGGCAAAACAAGAAGCTTAATGTGCCTAAGTCCTGGCAGGGACAAGTCAGTGGATCTCAAGTTAATTCTAAAATGCCGCACGGCGCATCAAAGCAGAGAAAACTGTATGCGCCACGAGCAAAGGTGAACAAAATAAGCAAGGGCGCACTACGGCCATAATTAGAATGAGTTTTCAGTTTAGTTGTGATGCCGAGCACCAACTAAGTGACATAAAAAAAAAGTTCAGAAGAACGAGAGGATGGACTTGACACGGGGCATTACAAAAACTTCAGCAGGCTGAACGGCCGATCTTCCGCTTTGGCTTCGCTCGCTCCGGCAGACGCCGCTGGACTGCTCGCCTCTCCTTCGCGCTCCGGTATGCGCCGGGCCAAGTCCGCCTCGCTGCTTCTTCTCTTGCGAAGCGAGCTGGAGGGCTCCTGGCCATACCTACCGCCAGCGTGCATATTAGCACTATCGCGAGTCTCACTCACTTCGAGCGCCATCGCTCGCTGCAGCTTCGCCTCGCCGCGAGAGAGGCGCGCGCCTCCGAGAGAGGACGGCTCCAAGTAAGGCATCCATCCGGCTCCTGCACCGGCCTGTTGTCGGCTGTCGCTTCCGCAGGCGTCCAAACTCAGCCTCCTTCGCCTGAATCCTCTTCGCCCGATTCTTGCGCTCGATCAGATAATGCAAAGAAGGGGGTGGTGGCTCATCAGAGGAATCTTCGTTGGCCAGTTCTTCGAGGCGATACATCCACCCCTCAATGCGCTCAAGCTCCCGCTCACATCGCCGTGTGAGCGAGGCATCGCCCGCACGGCGAACCGCCTCCAAGCACGCTTCCACGGCAGGGAGCGCATCGTAGTATCGCCCGCCGCCGACGCTGACCTCGATGGCGATCCCGTGCACCATACCCACCAACTCCTGGAGGGGCACGAAGGCAGGGTGAGCCACGGGGTCCGGGACCACAGAGACAGCAGCCGGAGCGCCAGCGTCGACGACGGTGGCAGAGGACCCGACTCCTTCAGCATCACTATGATCGGAAGAAGAAGCCATAGAGGGAGAAGTTCTTGGGAAAGCTCTTTCTGGCGGATTTCTCTTGAAGCAGTAAGGATTCTGCTGGAGAGAGATGAGTATGGATATATATTATAAGAAGCCCAACGGCTGAGATTCGGCACCCCGAGCGATCAAACGGTCAGAACGCCCTGCGACGCTTCGAACTCAGCGCCTTTAAGGCTACTCTCGAAACCCCAAACCGACAGATCGGATTGGGGCACGAGAGGCGAAGCGACCGGTCGCTTCACCATAAATGGGCATTAATGCGCCTGCAGAGTCTTGGCTGGCAAGCACTTGGGCCCGCCGCCCGACACGTGGCACAAGTTTCGCCCGCAGTCGGATCCCCGACTATTGGATCAACTCGCTAGTTGTTCGAGTTTTCGCCTACAATTCAAACTCGCCAGGCGAATCGGGTCGGGTTTTCAACACAAGCCCACCATCATACGGGTCTCGCACACAGCATAAACTCGCCAGCCGTTGGGTTGCGTTTCCAAGCGAAACTCGCCGGCAAAAGAAGTTACTCATCTGCTTGAACTCGCCAACAGTTGAGTTTAGCTTCCAAGCGGAACTCGCCGCGATCAAAATCTCGCCTGAAAACAAATTAAATCTCGCCAATACACAAGCAATGAGCGGACACAAAACCTCATTGATACTTTAAGACAGTACATTTGAACAAAGTTATGTTTTTGCAAATTGCGAAAGTCATAATGACATGTTCAAAGAAGCAAAACATACACCCACAGTTTCAAAACAATACATTTGAACAAAGTTATGACCTTACGGGTCATGGCGTACTTTCAAATGCAAAACAGGCAAGCAAAAGGTCTTAATACAATCCTGAGGCAGAAGTCTTAGTCGGACACGCTGAAGGTGGAGATCTCCTCTTTGACCGCCTCAACCTGGCTCGCGTGGTCTTCCCGAGCCTTATTTTCAGCGGCTTTCTGAATTCGATCTTCGCGGTTCGACATGGCGGCAGCATCTGTCTGACGCAAAGCCAGCAGGCGCCGAGTCTCCGCCTCAGCGTTCTCATTAACCTTGACCACGTCAGATTGGAGCGCCTTCCACTTCGCCTCCGCCTGCCCTAACTCGGCCCTCAGGCGAGCCATGGTATGGTTGAGGTCAATGACTTGCTCCTCTAGCAAACGTTGTTGGCTCACCCAAAAGTTAGCCGCAGACTCCGAATCCGCTATCTCTTTGGAGCGGGTTTCCTGCTCCAAGGCCTCCTGACGCCTGACGTGAGCCAGGCAGGATCCCATTTTGGCCTCCGGACCTCCCCGTAGCAAGGCCTCTAGCACCATCATGCGTGGCTCCAAGAGACGGAGTTCACGCACGCAACGGGTAGCGAGACGGTTTTCACCTGATCGCCGTAAATCGGCCACGCGATCATAGAGGGACTGCCTGAAGCTGTCAAAGCTACCCATACCGAGTTCGACGAGGGAAATTGCCTGCCTTACAGCACCTTCGAACTCTTCAATACGGGCCTGCCATGGTTGAGACTCGGAGGGAACAAAGCTCTGGCCTGGAGCGAGCGCCGTGATGGGAGGAATTTCGAGGCAAGGTTCGGCTCCCGGCTGGGGAGCGGGATCCGGAGCAGCGGAGTTCGCACGGCCTTCAGATTCGTCGTCTGAAATCAGAATGGGATCGGCCGCATGCTCCTCGGCAGCCGGCACCTCCTCTCGACCTGTAAGACGCAACAAGCGATACAGGGAACAGTTGGGGGAGGAACACCTACTAAACTCACACGAAAGTCGAAGCAAGAAGATACCTTCAGCCGCGACGGCTTCGGCAGCACCTGAAGAACCAGGCTCTTTCCTTTTCTTGGAAACGACTCTCTTCACCTTCGGCGCCATTGGGAGTATGAGGAAGAAGAAGTTCGGGTTTACTCTGAGGAGGACGATAGGCCCTCTCGAGGAAGAGTTAGGGTGTTAAATACCCTAAGAGTCCTAGGCGGTTACTCAGTACTTGATTAGACCGTTCAGGATTAAAGCAGCTAGAGAGCAAGACCGAACGGATCGGATCTGGACGGACGAGATCTGGCAGTTCCTTGAGCACGATCTTCAACAAACGGCTCAAATCGGACGTGGGGAACGAAGAGGCCCACTACCTCGCATTTAATGCGAGGCGGCTATCCCACGTCTCCTTAACCGGCGTACACGTGGATTAACACGTGGCCCGCTAAAAGCGTAACCCGATCAGAGTCAGAATCGCCATTAGCATTTGCAAATCCGCCTGCGGGCCGAATTCGCCTGCAATCGAAATAAACCTACAGCGCAAATCAATCGATGATAATCCCGCTGCAGTTGAGGTCCTCTTGCGGCCAGATTCTGACCAATGCATGGTTACGAAAATGGCACACGCACACAAATGACAATAGGCCAGAAACAAAAGGGATAATTTCATTCGTGAAAGGGAAGTCCTATTACAAACGGAAAATTAAAAGCAAATTACAGAGATTTTAACCGCAGCTCCGCCTCACGAAGTTCTTCGGCATGGCGAAGTTCAAGCCTCCTTAGAATCTCTCGGCGAAGATCTTCATCCGTACGCGAGGCCAAGTCTTGAACGGTCTCTTTGGCTTCCTTATGGGCTCGCTCCTTTTCCTCCACTGAATTGGCAGTCAGCTGCTGGCGAGATTCAATGTTCTCCAACTCTTTGACCGCCTGCTCACGAGCCTTCTCTTGAATAGCCAATGAGGCCCGCGCCTTGGCTATGACCTGCTTCAGAGTCTCTACCTCCGAAGACAGGCGAGAAACGCGGTTGTCAGCCTTCTGTCGCTCGAAGACCATCCGTTCATTCTCAGCTCTGGCCTGCTCCAGCTCCTCCGACAATCTCGCCTCTAGTGACATAGTTTCATTCAGACGGCGATCCCGCTCTTGCACCACCGCTCGGACTTCGCCGGATGCAAGATCCACAAGAGTGGAACTCTTCGCGCGAAGAGCAAGCAACTGCTGGATGGCTTCTTTCACCGCCTCCTTACGCTGGAAATAAGGCTGCGCCCCAGAATGCTTTAGCCTCTTGATTAAGAAGCCTATGATGTAGTCGATATCCTCTTCGAAGCTCTCGAAAGGACAACTCTCTTCCAGCGCGAGCCTGATGCAGGCAGCCATAGTGTCATGGAATTCAGCCACGGATCGTGCCGCACTCTTTCTTCGCTCACGCTCCAAGGGAGAGAGGGCAGCCTCTTCCATCATAGATGGAACCGCGGTTGAAGCACTGGTGGCCGTAACTGTGGAAGTAGTAATTGGCGTCGCCAGGGCCGGTGTGACCAATGATGACCTCGGAACAGCAATCACGGCATCAACGGCGACCCCCGACAGGGAGGTGATCACTTGCTGAGCAGAAACCTCTCTTTGAAGCGGTGACTCTCGCACTGAGGAACGATCCTCAGCAGACACCGCCGCAGGAGCAGGGGATCCCCCTATTTGACCAGTCGCATCTTCATGAGCCAAGTCCTCTTCCTCACTCGACAGGGCCTCGTGTATTGAGGCGTCGTCGTCATCCTCCTCAGATTCGCCCGTCTCCCTAGACGAGCGATTCGCCCAAGAGGAAGGACCCTCTTTGCCGGCGATTTCGCGGGCAGGATCGGCTACAAATGCACCGAGAGAGTTAACGGAGACCCCTCGTAAGGGACCCTATTTACGGTGAGGCATGAAAGAACGAGTAATGCTAAAGTCTATACTTACCTAAGCCCGTAAGCCCCTCATCATCTCCAGCTTCTTCCTCTTCGTCGGAAGGAATGGAGATCACTTTCTCAACCGCACCTGCATAGATCCATTACCAATATCAAAAGGTGCAAGAGCAACATTGCAATCAAGGGTACTGTTGCAAAGACTACCTCGTGATGCGGGCAAAGAAGCCGTTGGAACTCCCGACGGTGACCCCACGTCGGACGGCAGAGGAACGTCCTTCGGAGTCTCCTGAACTGCCCCCGATGCGGCAGGTGAGGCAGGCGACACGGCTCCAGACCCAGACGGAGCCACTCCAGACCCAGACGGAGCCACTCCAGACCCAGACGGAGCCACTCCAGACCCAGACGGAGCCACTCCAGACCCAGACGGAGCCACTCCAGACCCAGACGGAGCCACTCCAGACCCAGACGGAGCCACTCCAGACCCAGACGGAGCCACTCCAGACCCAGACGGAGCCACTCCAGACCCGGACAGAGCCACTCCAGGAATCCTTATCGGAGAAACGTCATCCCGACCCCCTGCCACTTGGATGGTCCCGACTGTCCCATCACAGCGAGCCTTCTTGGCCGCCTCCGCTCTGGAACTCTCGGCCACCGCCTCCCGCTGACGCTTCGAGAGAAGCGAGCTACTCGGGGATAGCAAAGGTGCCCCCATTTGTCCGATTGTCGGACTCTGAACCGGAGCTCGAACATCGGGAACCTCAGATTCGCCACCAGCATCGAAGCTCTCACAGTCCTCCACTGGATCCTCCGAGAACAACTCCCTAGCGGTTTGGTGGCCCCTTCTCTTTGAAGAACGGAGAGAGCCCCTGATGGGACGATCGCGTTCCGCCAGACATGAGCTTTGGAACCAGAAGTTGGCAGGGTCAGCACTAGCACCCCGATACCACCGACAGTACAAGAGCGTGTGGTGTAAATCGCGGTCCTTCGCAGGCAACTCAAAACGAGCTTGAGTACCTCCAGCATGGGTCCAGAACCACCCCCGAGCGCCGTCAACCAGTCCTCCTTCGAAGTGTAGGCGAGGGTTGGCGTTGCCCACATACAATTGATCATACCCAAACTGGCGGGCAAACCTGCAAGGGATGTATGGCTCGAGATAGCATGTGGAGCCTGTTCTCAGAACGTGATACCCTGGTCGAATGTCCACCAACCAGCGAAAGGCACCACGGGAAAGGATTGTGTGGTGATCCGCCGTCGGCGCATCCCTGAGAGATTCTCCATATCCACCCCCGCTAAAGTAAGGAAAAGATCGACGAAAATTATAGTGCCCGAAGTGGGAGAGCGTCTTCCTCGTATCGGGGATGTCCTTGCACTTCCAAGAGCACCTCTCCAAACGCTGGACGAAGGGAACAAACTTGTCTCCCTGAAGCGCTGCCGGGGCACTCATCAAGCATTCGCAGTGATAGACGAACCATGCCATCAAGTAGGTATACGGTAGCCCCACCCTAGGATTGGGGGTTCTGATAACTTCTCCTTCCCCCTCGTCGAGGACCGACACACGGCAGAATTGGCTCGTCAGAGTACGGAGCCCCCGATGGATACACGCTATCGTCGCCGATACCAGGGAATAAGCCTTCCCGTGAGCCAGGCAAACCGCCGGATACACGACCTCTATAGGAAGAGCCTCGAAGGAGTGAGTGGGGATTACGCACCTCTTCAGCCATAACATGAGGTACCCCGCGAGCAGCGCCTTCCCCGAAATGAGAAACTTCGCCTGATGATGGAATGAGTGAAGGACCGTACCAGCCTTAAATCCGCCCTCGTCGCGGTCAAGAGTAATGGTGCTTCCTTCTTTAGCTGTCCTCGCCTCCACTTCGGGCTGGTCGCACGCGCCTAACGGGAGAGCGGGCTTCCCCTTGACATCGTTCCCAGGGAACAGATAATCAGCCCAATTCTTGTGGCTAATCCCTGGGGTCTTCTTCCTCTTCCCCTTATGATCCGAGGCCCCTAAGGTACTGAGGCATATGTGGAAGTGACAGAGTAACTCCCACAGAGTTTCAACCGCCAGAGGGGAATTGTCCGACAGCTGATCGATCTCATCTTGATCAGGGACGTATTCCTCATAAGGGAAGTCTCCCAGAGGCAGCCCCGACACGTCGTGCATCTCGAAGGGGGTGATACCAAGCTCACCATTGGGAGTGAAAAACGTGCCGCTTTCCGCACAATACAATTCCAGAATGCTATGGAATTGAGAAGCGTTGATCCGCAGGCCATGTCGAGTGGCTTCGAGGGCCACATACAGCTCTGTGCCTTTGAGGTCAGCATTCTCGGCCAAAACATAGTCGGTGATCTTGGACCACCACGTGTCGCTGCCTGGCGCAGAGTAAACCCACCCCGGGGCCCTGAAGTCCTTCGGGGGAAAGCTTCCACCGACTCGGAAGAAGCGGTGACGGAAAGTCTCCGCCACCGCTGTCGATTCCCCCACGGGCGGTTCAGCAGACACTAAGCCAGGGCGCAGACCCGTCACGCGCTTACATGAGCTCTCCACTCCATACCCAGCCGTAGAACCCGTAAAGACGCCACAAGTGACCCCGTCCTGAGTGGGGGTCAAATCCCAGTTCATCGTCCGAGGAATCGCGAGGGACCGCAGCTCAACAATCGAAAACCCTCTCGGCATGCTGGGGAGGTAATAATGGGTCCCCTCTACCGTGCGGAACCACCGGCTCTCTTTGAGCAACAGGGCAGAAGGGTCGGTCATGGAGTCGCCGAACAGAAATTGAGGTTTCGGCAGCTCTGCCCTGGCCTCATCTGTCAGCGCCGCATTGGTCGTCAGCTCGCGCAGGGTCAAGTGATGACCATCCGTGACCCTCTGTACCAGACCATGCAGCTTATCAGCAGTGAACAAGGGTACTGGAGCCAACGAGGGAAAACGAGAAGGGGCCGTGTAGCTCTTAGCCCCGACGTGGCCAACGGCCACACCCTCCGGGAAAGCCTCATCAGGGAAGGTCGCTGCAACAAGAAATAGAAAGTCAATTGAGACAAAATCCGCTGTAGAGGTGAAATCGCCCATCGAACATAGGAAGGCGAAATCGCCTATCGAAAGGGGGAACCCACTTCGAACGAGGTCTGTCCCTACGGACTACACTCCCCTCTAATGGGAAGGGCCGAACTCGCCTTACGAAAAAGGGGTTCGTCTCCTCCCCACTGGAGAATTCGCCCGCGGGGACAGTACTCATCCTCTAAAGGCAAAATAGGGCAAACTTTGCCCCAAATCGGGGAAATAAGCAACACTCATCTCCCTAAATCCGACGCCTAAGGCCTGCAAGGGATCGCCCAACGAATCCATCAACGTACCTGGGCACGACTCCAGAGCACCAGCAGGCATGCCGGCAGAGAGACGGTCGGAGTAACGTCCGGGACCTGCACCCCTCACTTTGCACCTCTTAGGTTTCGGAGCCATTGTAAGAGGAAGCGGGAATTCTTTCCTTGGATGTTCCCTTTCGAGATTTGAAAGCACGGTAAATCCCAATGGAGGAAAACGGCTGATTTAGAAGGGCGGAGTTGCCCACGTGACCACGACTGCCCTCGAAAGGCGAAAACCCTAACGGACAGGAAACGGGGCCACGATCAAATTCGACGGCCCAGATCACCCTCAGTGCATCGAAGGGACCGAGATTAGCGTTGGAATCCGACGGTTGAGTCCGAGAACCACGGCCACGATACGTCGCAGGGCGAAACGCACGAGGATCGTGCTGTCAAGTCACGATCGCCACGATCCAATGTCTTAGCTGGGAAGCACGAGGCTCTGTCAGCAGACGCGTGGCTCATCTCTCGTCAGATCCGGTTCCGCCTACAAAAGGAAGGGTTTCGCCTGCAAATACTGGGCATAACCCCACGAGTCGCGCGAGAATTGGCTCTCAAAAATTAATTTCGCCTTGACGATGCATTCGCCCTCAAAGGTAAAATTACGAACAAAGCCAAAAGAATGACCTTGCTTAAACGGTTGAAACCCACGCCCCAGATGGCTAAGGGTTAGAGCAGAAATCTTAGCATTAAGCCTAAGAGAAACTGTTCGACAACTCATCATACTGAGGAGAATAGTATGGCTAGCCCGATTCAAACGGTAATCGGTAAAGGCACATCAAACCCGTTGATAGCTGAGGGTTTGCTAAAAATCCTAAGAGAAATCGAAGGCACTTGCTTCGCCAACAGTTTCTTCATTCAAAGTGTTCCAGACCACACGCAAGCCAGTTTAGGTCCGAAAACTTTGAAGGGGGTCTTGTAGACGGTAAAAAATACCTCTATGGGTCTACAGGGAATTTGTCTACGAGAAGAGTTCGCACGCCCAGTTCTCTGACACGGACCTAAACCGCGTAGACGTCGACTGTGCTCAAATCCAGGTTCGCCTAACGGTCGACTCGCCAGCATGAGTCAGGAGCGATCAGGATGGCGGAAATTTGCTCTTCGCTCAACTCGCCTGCCCGAGTTCGGAGTCGAATCCGCCAGCAAGCCCCAAAACCGTCAGTACAGCTGGGTATCCACTACCCCACGTGCTGAGGTGGGCCTTCCCACCTCTCTCGACCCAAAGGGAGAGAGAGCACAGTACCCCAGGGCCGTCAAAACGGCCGCCCACAGTGCGCACAGCGCGAAGGAGCTGGACAGGTGTCGAGTCAACCTGAGCATTCATAAATGCGACTCACCTCGGCTGTCTGAGTCTGGAGCTGGGTCCGCCGGCACTCGGCAAGCTGGCTAGACTCACTCGAGTACTGTACACCTACTTCACCGCCTCTCCTGACCGGAAAGGAGAAAGCGTCGTGCTCAAAGCACGCCGGGCGGTCACGCACAGTACTGGTGATCGGACAGACGCCTCATCGATCTGCGGACTCATAAATGCGGTTCATTAATGCTGGTCAAATCCACTCGGATAGTAGTCGTTTGTTGCCTCACATACAAGAATGGGCCTTCCCATCGTAGGTGACAGGACATAAAGCACAATCCCTGGAATGACCGATCATGGTTTCGAGGAACAGCTAGACGTCTCTGAAGAAGATGTGGTCACATCCCACAATTCAAGGAGGAGTCAAGTTGTCCTTCTCCCATTTAAAAGCCTCTTCCGGCACACTGGAGAGGAGG